AGACACCACGGGCTTGGGAACGTACCCACTGGCAGTCAACTGGACGACGGGGGACTACCTCGTGAAGGCCTCAGTCCTACCGAAGACATAGCCAGTAGCAGTGAAGCAAGCCCCGCGGAACACCGACGCCGCCGACTACATGGCGCCCTCTACGACCGCCACGGGCCGATCTGAGGGAAGCTGAACCGGGGGAATGCAGTCCTTTTGTCCCTGCTCACGACCTACCTTGTGACTCCAGGTTCCCTATTTCATCCTTGTTGCTGCATGGACCGAGCAGGGGGAAAAGCATTGCAAACAATACACAATCCCAAAAAACCCCTTGCCAACTGCTGCTGCCTCATTGCCTTCCTATACACTGTAAGCTGTTGTTCCACCATCTTGGCAATGCTGCTGCCGAAAAGTGCTGAATAAAGAACCTGCATATTTGGTCATTTACCCTGGTTGAACTAGCTCTCGACATGATTCAGCACTTTATGCCATCTAGCACCACGACAGAACTCGTCATTATAACCAAACAAGGGGGAATGGGTCCACCAACTTGATTTGATCTGTACACATGTTTGACCTTTAGGCTTTGAATGTATCGTTGTGTCCTTGTTTCAACCCAAAATCCGATGGACCCAAACCTCCAACAATCTCATTACTCCGCATCACCTCGTTAAAGATGCTGGCATCGCGGGGGGAACTGGCTCTGAATGCTTGAAACTAGGCTCCCACAAAACCTTATAGTGCATCGTCATGAAAGCAAAGCGGTTGTTTCCCCAACGTTGATGATTCGGGGCCAAGTCTGCTGGATCTTCCAAAGATGTTCTAGAGTTATGTCAGTTGCGGGGGACAGATGTTCTAGAGTTATGTCAGTTGCGGGGGACAGATCCACACGAGGATCCAAATGACAAACAGTCAGGCCCTGGACTCTGTAGTGCTACCTTGAGCTGACTTTGCGCGGGGGATGGTCCATCCAGTGGCATTTGCCTTCACTTATATGTTGCCTTTAGGCTGGTCATACAACGCTGTGTCATTGTTTATTCCAAATCTGATGGACCAAAATCCCCAAAAACTCCTTGTGCCTACACCCCCGAAAAATGATGCCGGGGAATGATTCTCTAGTTTCATATTTGTCTGGCCATCGTTTGTAGAGACCGCATCGGCATCATGGGGGGAATACTGTACCTCCCGAAGTCATCTCTCTGCACGAACCCCTTAAGCTATCTTTGTCATTTATACGGGGGAAAGCGAGAGATGACCTTGCATGTGTGGAACTGAGAGTCAATGATTACAGTTGCCGTTATTGTATTCTATATGGCTTTAGCCGAAACTGTATTCACGACTCGTTCTTCACCCCTCACACCCGTTAAAACAACGGGGGGGCCATTGGCCCGAGGGCGTTGACCCGCCCTCATGCCCGGGAGAGAGAGAGAGAGAGAGAGAGAGAGAGAGAGGAATTTAAAGTTGGAGTACAAATGTAAAACTCTCTTTGGGAGTTCCAGAAAATGGAACCCTTCCATCATGCCCAAACAGTTTGGTAGGATCACACCGAGTTTGCTGAAACACGTGTTTGGGGACAGACTGGGATGTGTGACAGGGCAGAGCTTTGGCGCAGAACTTGCCAGCCAGGTCTTCGGGGAAGAGACCACAGTTGAACAGATTGTGCGCGGCTTGAGCACTGTCAGCAGTCTATGAGGTGTGAAATACAGTGTATAGTATATAGTACTTTCTCTATGAGGAATCATGAACGTTCTCATATACTATATAGCAGATGGTTTCAAGATACACTGTCACACATAGTTTTCAGTTTCAATATATAATTTTAACGCTACGCCGCCCGCCTCGGCTGTGTAGCGGCAGGGCGAGGGGGCAGTCGATGTTTTTTTATGCTAGGGCGGCCTGTCAAACCCCACCTTTACACGGTTGTTGATAGAAGTGCGAGGAGAACGGGCACAAGGGGGGTGGAGGGGGGGGAGGGGAGGGGAAGGGGGGGGGGAGGAACTTGGCCTCCAGGAAATTGAAGCAAGAGTTTAAGCCCACAAGGCACCGGGCAGGCACGGGAGAAGTGGGGGGCGGGGAGAAGGCGGAGAAGAAAGGGAGGGGAAGGGAGGGGAAGGGAGAGGGGGGGGGGAAGGGGGAGGGGGGAGGGGGGGAGGGGGGCGGGAGGGGGGGAAGGGGGGGGAGGGGGCCTGCGAGGGAGAGGCAGGCCAACAAATCAGGTAAAATGAAGGGAAGCCGGGCAAGGGGGTGGCAAACGAACGCAAAAAACGGTGTCCCCAAACATTTGGAGGAGGATTAGGTGGAGGGTACCTGAGGCAACCCCCAAGACGCCTCGGCCTGTGGCCTCGGCGGACTTATAATGTATATCCCAGTCGATATCACATACATCTATAAAACACATCTTCATATCCAATCTAGCATCTAATGCTTAACATATAGTTGGTTCTGGCATGTGCCCGTTCTGTATATGTATATATAGATATCATATATCTTTTGTTTCACTTCGTAGTTACTGGCCGCAAGACGGTTGTCTCAGGACTCATGCTGGGATGTGGATCCAGAGATTACGCAAAGTAAATCGTTCTGCATAAATGCAGCATTTAGTGTATGATTCAATGGTTCATAATACGTAATATGCAATATGTGTAGTAAAATTCAATGTAGGATGTAGACATATGTACGGCGTACATATGCGAATACACGCATATTGTGTATTTGGCAATGTCTTGTATGTAATGCGTGTCGTGTGATGAGAGGTGTGCGGCGTGTGGTGTGTGCAGTATGTAACTTGTAATAGCATAACCTAGTATAGTACAATGTGATATAATATAATATTTCTGACTGCATGCATGCATACATGCACACATGCAGACATACCACATATGTAAATACATATATATATATATATGTATATGTGTGTGTATGGTATGTATGTGTATATGTATATATAACAGTGCTATGGTCTACTGTCGGCCTTGCCAGTTGAGTTGAATCCTTGAGGCTCAGCTCCTCGGCGATGAAGAATCGGAGGCATGTCAGGGAGCAAGCTGGCTTACCAAAGTCTGTTATAGTCAAAAACTTCGGATCATAGTCCGTCGTCGTCTGGTTTTGCTATATTATTGAAAACTATAATCTGTTGAAAGTGCATCTCGTCTAATTATAAGCTGGTTTTGTTGATGACAGCATGTCACGATCTGTTATTTCTCATATTATTGTAGTCTGATTCTGTGTATGATAGCAAGCCATGCTCGCATTAGATTATATAACATTTATTTTCTCATATTTCATGTTAGTAGTATGATGGAGAAGTTTCGAGTTCGGTTCTCGCCAGGAATCCAGCCTTGCAAGATGTTGTGCGCGCTGCTCCAGCATATAGGAAGTTGTCACACCGTCCACCTTCGCTGCAACTGTTGCATATTGGAAGGTTGGTAAACACTTAGGCCATGTGCCTCCCACCCAGCTTTAGCATTCTTCCGCTCGGCATCACATCATGAGTAAAGCAGCATTCGCAGATAAACCAGCTAACAATGCTACTCCATTGGGAGATCATTGGTGGCACTCGTGATTACCCTCTACGTGTTGTAGAGTCTTAGCGCTGAAGAGATGGCGCTGCGAGCCGGGCTTCGTCGCCTTGCAGTACGCAAGCTGCAAGAGATCTGCAACAAATTTTCATGAACACGCTTCCTAGTCCTATTCCTAGCTGGAGGGGAGTTTCCATTTTGTTAGAAAGGCGCTGAAGGCTGGATGTGCGTCATGCAAGCCGTATCAAGCTGAGGTCATCAAAGACAGTTTCCCACAGATGCGAACTCCAGGATGTGATCCAAGCAAGCCAAGTGTATCGAAAGTCATGAAGGAGATGTTGAACAATCAGACAGCTGCTCTTCCCCACGCAGTCGGAGAAGAGGCAGCTGTTCCTGGCACACCCAGCAAGCACATAGTGACGGACTCAGATGGCAAATCTATGCCGATGCACCTTCCTAAGAGCTATCTGCCACGTGCCAGTGCTGGCACATCAGGACCTTCGGCGGGGGCAGCATTTCGAGGTTTGTCTGGATCCCGTTCTCACATGTCAGCGGGGGCTCTACCGATTGGGGGCCAGAAATGGCGGCCACCTGGTTGGAAGGAAGGGCCGAGCACTCCGGAACCGAAGCCGCAGGACAAGGGCCCGAATGCGGAATTCTACGAGCGACCCACCTTCGAAGTGTGGGGTGTCCGCGTTGTGGCGGCACTCGTGCTCTACGCTTTATATATCGAGTTCAAGGATGTCTCCATTAGCCCATCGGGTCAGATTACGCGGAAGCCCCGGCCCAAGAGGCACTTGACACCACAAGAAGAGGAGGAGCAGAGGCGACTGCAAGAAGCCTCACAGAAATGATTTATCTGCTGCGTGTTTTTGGGGCAGCACGGCCTCCTCTGTCAAGCTTTCTGGGTCGGTGCAACCAAGCACTTTCATTGTTTCACCAAGTGTTTGATGCCAGGCCATGCAGTGGCTCATAAACTCTCGTAGGCGGTGCGGAAAAGCGGATCCCTTGCTTTGACTACTGGGTGGTGGTTTCTTTGGTCAGTATGGGCTCGGCTGCAGGAGCTGGATGAGAGACCCAGCCTCAATCGCGGCTGCCGTTCATCTGTGTGAAGTCCTCAGTGCACCGCTACTTTGGAATCGACTGGGCCTGGGGACGGCTCGCTCGGCGGCTCCATCTCGGATAAAGAAGGACGTAGCATGTAATACACGTGAACACAGACTTTGCGCGTTGTCCAGCGCCTGTTTTCAGAACCAGGGCTAAAGTCACGTGACGTATGCAATGGCTTTGCCGCCTCGTCGCCGTGGACCAGATGCCAACACCAGGGTGCGGAAGAATGTGAGCAGGAGGCAAGGGGCAAACCTATGAGTTGCATGACATCTTTCAGTGCAGTGCAAGCCTCACGGAATGGATATTCAGTTCTTTCGTGCTCGGAGCTGTTTCTGCTCTCAACGTAGCTTCATACCTATTACCCCTTCCACGCAGCTCTTGCTGATGGCGATTCATCAGCTCTCGACCTTCATGGGCTCCGCCACCTCACGGAGCCCGTTGGTAGGTCTTGGCCCTTTGTCGGCAACTTCAGTTCCGTGCAGGCCGGCAGGAAACAAAAATGCACCCTTTTGAACTCGTGAACTGAGGCTGGGACTCGCTGATTGTCCTCTTGGTACTTCTCAACTTCTTCGTGATCCGGGCTGTGGCTGGCCGCCTTCTCAAAAGGGAGGCCGTTCAGTGCACGAAGGACCACGAAGCAGCGGCGGAGTGTCGAGACCAGGGCGAACATGGCTCCTCTACGGAGGAGACGAGGCGTGTGAGCGCTGCAGAGGAGGCATTTTGCAAGAAAGTGCTTTCATCCATACAGCTTGGTGACATCGCTGGGTCGACTGCGGCCTTTCAAGAGGCCGTCCAGGAGCTCTCGCTTTTCAGCCGAGCACCAGCCCTCCTTATGAAGACTTTGAAGGTGGCAAGTGCGCAAGGTACTGCCACCTTAGCTTGGGACTTGTATTGTGCGACCAAGGAGCACATGGAGTATTCCAGGGGCTTGTATCACACCTTACTCACCGTTCTGGCCAAAAGCGATGATCCAGACCTTCCGACAAGTGTGATTCGCGACATGACGTTGCAAGACGTAGAGCCAGACTCGTCCACCTATGCATGTTTGATCCGTGGGCAGCTTTCCAGAGGAGACTTGGAGAGTAGTGTGCAGATGTTGGGTCAGATGCGGCGACGAGGTGTAGCACCAGACATCGCAACATTCCATGCTGTGCTGGAGGCTTGCGCACACAGGCAGTTGCCTATGCTTGCCGAGCAGATCCTCAGCGACATGGAAGAAACCGGGATTGCCCCTTCCTCGACAACACTAGCGCTGCTTATCCGCCTGCACAGCCGCTGTGGGGACCTGGGGGCTGCAATGCGAGTTTTCAGGGAGCTTCCTCCAAAGTACGGCCTCAAGCTTGATGCTCCGGTGTACGGAGGCCTTGCGGCAGCCTGCGTGGCAGAGGGCGAGCTGGCACAGGCCTTTCAGATCTACGACCAAATGTCCACGGCTGGATGCCACGCAGACGCCTCATTGTACAAGATGTTGCTGAGTGGCAGCCTTCAACAAGGAGATCTGGATCTGGCAGCAAGGCCGCCTGACGACAAAGTAGACTACAAGACTGCACCATGTTAACCTTGTAGTGACTTTGGTGTTGCAGTTCAGTCTTCAGGTCTGGCTGGCATTGGATACCGTAGAAAACAGACAGTGATTCGTCTCAGCGGCTGATCGCTTCGTGACTGAGGTGCTTAGACGATGCTTTCCTCAGCAGCTGCCCGGTCGGCCTCCCCAGAGAATCCATCGAAATTTTCCTTCTGCAGGCGCATCGTCGGGGTCGAAGTGAGCTGGCCATACCTGTGCTTCAGCGAGCACAGCAAGCGGGCATTTACATATCCGAACGCATCGCCAACAGCATCCTGCGTGCAGCCACAGCTGCAAGCTGACGGGACTTTCCTGCTGGCGAATTCGGGCTCAAAGCCCTGTTGTTCCATGTAGAAGCCACAGCTAGTCAGGCTGACTTCGACATTCCATGGCTCCTCTCTGTCGCGTGCAAGTCAAAAATGTCTCTGGCTGGCACTTTACTTGAGCCATCTGAAGTCTTGCGGACAATTGTTTGGCCACATTGCTTGTTCTTGAATTTTCAGACTTACACTTTGTGTTGTCTTGTGAGGATGCCAAGCTGTCAAAGCGCCGATGGACGTGCGAATCGCGGCGCGGCGGAATCTTGAGCACAAAGTCGAGGAAGCAGAGAGAGGACTGACCCACGAGTTGCTTTGCCGTCTCTGTCGTTTGATGTATGATTTTCACTGGCCAGAACTGGCACAACAATCTAGAGTGTGGGGCGATATTGGCATCCTGGGCTGAAGCAGCAGCCACGCAGTCTGGCAGACTCAGACTGCGCGCGCCGTCGCACAGGAGCCGCTGGCAGTTCGTGGTCTGTGCTTTGCCGGCCGATGTTTCTTCTTTGCATTCTTCTCCTTCTGTCTCGATGTTTCTTGATTGCATTCTTCTCCTTCTGTCTGTTTGTTGCATACATACGCACGGACACACACACACACACCCACACACACCCACACGCACGTATGTATATATTTGGTATATGTATGTGTCCATGGCTATGGCTATGTACATGTGTACATGTCGATGTCAATGTCTATGTATCTGTACCTGTGTATGTACGTGCATATGTACAAGGACATGTAAATGATGTATATGTACATCTATACGTATGGATAGCGCATACTACTAATGCATAAAAAGCTTTGAAACATGCAGTGGCGGATGAGAAGCCACGCAGACATTGCCAGACGGACGGACAGACAAAACCAAGCACACCGACGCCACACATGAAACCGCATTGGGCATGTCACCAGGCGCAGACACATGCTTCGCATGCACACGCGCATAATCTGCTCGCATGCTTGAATTCAGGTAGACGATGTGCACTTTTGGCTGGGCAAGGCAGAGAAGGTACCAAACATCGAGCACCCGAACGGTCATGAACCGCTATCAGACAGTAAGCTGAGTTGAACCAAATCAAGAAGCAATGAAGGACACTCTGGTACGCATTCTCGGCGACCAGCTCGAATTCGCGGGCATGGACAAAATCGGCGAGTTGTCGATTATGCCGGACAGATTAACGAACCGCATCTGTGCTTCAGCATACAGCAGAGAAGCGTCTGCTCCTTGGCTTGGACCAGTCCGCTTTGACATTGTGGTGCGTGATTTGCTTGCGCACGTTGATCTGCACGTGGAGTGACGCAACTGCAGGCGAGACAAGACACCGCTCAAGGGCGCAACCCGCACTGACAGGCGGATTCTTAAACATGCAATTTCGGAGCAGCCCTGCGGCGGTGTGTTCGTGAGGCAACATCAGGACAGGAGACCCTGCGTCTAGAAGCGCAGGCGGGCATGCTTGCATGCACCATGTTGGCACAATCACAGTTTCGGTTATGCATAGCTTTGTGCAGACTCGGACTGGTTTCAAATTTCAATTTACCATCGCCCAGATCTGACAAGATTTCCGTGTATGGCGGTGTCAAGGAATATACTGTTGAGTAGGTACTGTAGTCTATTGAGACCGTTGCACAAGTTCAGTTTGATCAGCCCCTTTCGCGTGGCAGGACCAAAAGCCAAAGACCAAAAGCAAATCGCCGTGCAACCTGTAGTAGTACCGAATCCGCTTTCAGACGAGGACAGAGTCGTAACTGTTCCTGTCCCAAGAAGCAGTTGCCGGCGATGCTGTTGTACTGCAGTGGTCAAGACATGCCAATATTGGATAGGAGCCGCCGGACAGCCTGCGGAACAAGACAGGCCAATCGAGAGGCCATCAAACCTATTATCGCATCGGCTTGTGAACTTGGTCTAGATGTGTCTAGATGATATTTCTCCGCCCGTATCTGCGTGTATCTGCCTAGCCTGGCTCGCCGTGTTTGGCTGTTTGCTAGGGCTACAAGGGAAGTAGCATCGGCATTTTGTCACTTCAACCTACAGCTATACGTCGGCCACATCTCTAAGACTGCTGCAGTGACGTCGCATCCGGACACAGAACCTGTGACTCTCGATGGCAGTTCTTCGACAGGGATGCCGGTATCGTGCCAATTTCAACATCGGCCAGTCTAGTAATGTTTAGACATGCAGCACGATGCAGCCGGGGCACGGCAAAACGAGCCGCTAATTTTCACAAGCAGCCATGTCCGGATGCAAGTGGCTGATCGTTTCATGTTGTCATGCTTTGGATCCTGTTGTACATTCGTGAAAGTGTAAGCCCTTTCATGTCACGCAGGAGTGGCTGCCGAGCCCGGCAGATCTGAGAGCCAGTTCCGATATTGAAACGTGATGGCGGTGGTGAGGCACTTCAAAAAGTTTTTTGCGAGCATTTGAATCGAGGGTCCACGGTTTTTTTTCCTAGGTCTGGTCCGGTCTGGGGGGCCTTGCTAGGTCTGGTCCCCTGGTCCTTTGGTCCTCTGGTCCCCTGGTCCCTGGTCCCCTGGTCTCTCCTGGTCCTGTTACATAGGGGGACGCAATGTGCTGCAGGCACTCGGCTTGCAAGACACAAAAAGAGCCAGTCGCAACTGCGCTGCGGTTCTCCTGCTTCTGACAGCCCTTCGGGGCGACGTGCACCCTTCAGGCCGCAGTATCCATGTCTGTCTGTCCGTCTGTCTGTCTGTGACAAACGACAAACAACTAACAACAAACAACGACATATCTAACACAACTAACAACAAACAACTAACAAGAAACAAGAAAGAATAAACAACAAACAACAAACAAGAAACAACAAACAAGAAACAAGGAACAATAAGCAGGAAACAACTAACAATTAACAAGAAACAACTAACAACTCACAAATAACAACCAACAACTGACAACTAACAGCTAACACCAACAACTAACAACTAGCAACGAACAACTAACACCTAACAACTAGCAACTAGCAACTAACAACTAACACAACTAGCAACTAACACAACTAGCAACAAGCAACAAGCAACACACAACAAACAACCAACAACACCAACAACAACAACACCACCACCAACAACACCACCACCACCACCACCACCACCACCACCACCACCAACAACAACAACAAGAACAACAACAACAACAGCAGCAGCAGCAACAACAACAACACCAACAACAAGAACAACAACAACCCGACGACAACAACGACAACAACAACAACAACAGCAACAACAATAAGAAGAAGAAGAAGAAGAACAACAGCAGCAACAACAACAATGGCAACAACCACAGCAACACGTCTGTCTGACAACAAGAACAACAACAACAGCAACAGCCACAACCACAACCACCACGACAACCACAACAACAACAGCAACAACAAGAACACCAGCAACAGCAACAAGAACAACTACCACGACGGCAACGACGAGGACGAGGACGAGGATGACGAGGATGTCGACAACGACACCGAGAAACAACGACACAAGACAGAAGATTAGAAATTGTAATCAGGCAATATTCACACGCGAAACACGACCCTGCAAATTGCAGTGCTCCAATAGCTTCATGCAAGACACAAGCAAAACCAGACCCTGCGAATGCTAGTTCCCCATTAGCTTGATGGAAAACACAAACAATAAAAGACTCTGCAAATTGTAGTTCCCCAATAGCTTGATGCAAAACACAAACAAAGCCGACCCCGCAAATTGTAGTTCCCCATTAGCTTGATGCAAAACACAAGCAGAAGAACACACCGCAAATTGTAGTTCCCTAATAGCTTCATGCAAAACACAAGCAGAAGAACACACCGCAAATTGTAGTTCCCGAATAGCTTGAAGCAGAACACAAGCAGAAGAAGACCCTGCGAATTGTAGTTCCCCAGTAGCTTGATGCAAAACACAAGCAACATCGATCCCTGCAAATGCGAACTCCCCAATAGCTTCATGCAAAACACAAAGAAAACCGAACCCTGCAACTTGTGGTTCCCCAACAGCTTGATGCTAAACACAAGCAAAATCAGACTCCGCAAGTTGTAGTTCCCCAATAGCTTCATGCAAAACAAAAGCAAAACCAGAGCCGTCAAATTCTAGTTCCCCAATAGCTTGATGCAAAATAGAAGCAAAGACTGCAGTTGCCGCTGTTTGCACCCACAACCAGTGGACCAGACTTAGGAAAGCAAGCCGGTGCGGACCAGACCTAGGGAAAAAAAACCATTCCGCCTTGAATCGATATCGGATAGCAAGCTGTGGGCATTCCGTAATCTGAGAGTGGTTGCTGTTATTGAATTCTCTCCTTCCGCTGGCTTTGGGCCACTTCTTCTGTTTGCAGGTCTTGCATGCCTCGCTCAAACCCAAGCAGCTTCTGTGTAAGTTTCCGAGGTCACAACTTTCACTGAATTCAGCCCGGTCACATGCGCCAGCCTGGCACAGTCTGCACTTGAACCTTTCGACTCCGTGCGTGCTGCAGATCCTGCTTGGTAGCATGAGTGCATGACAGGTCTCATTTTCACGGCGTCTCGGGGCAGTCCGGACGAAAATTCACGAGAGGCCCGAGGCTTGGTTGTTGCGGCAGAGTGAGCTTTGCATGCACATCAAATTGCAGCCGCACTGCTGCCTACACCGTCCAGACGCACCAAGCTGTCAGTCCGACGGTTTGATACTGCACCGTATAGTTTATCACATGAGCGTCCAGTTCGAGAGCCGTGTCCTGCAGTGCTTGGCCCACAAGATCTGTAAAGCCGAAGCCCGCGTAGTTTTGAATTGCTCGCTGTTGAATGTTTTGAAGGCCCCCTGCCACCCAACAGCTATCCTGGAATCCTGCTGAAAAGTCGAACTGGATGTCTCTGCGCAGCACAGTGAGGCAAATCTAACCGAAGCAATCGCATCAGCTGTTTTGTGCAGTTGATCTGTACTTCTGCTATAGAGGCTGTCCAAGGTTGGGGGTCCTTAGCCTTAACCGAGGCATGACGTCAGACAGTTTCGGAAAGAAGGAGGCGCGGCTTTCCGTGGCTGATTCTGTAGTTGCCCGTCAGTAGTTGCGTTGGATTCTCGGGACATGCTCATGGTGCTCGTATGCGGTCGGTCGGTACTGTAGTGCTCAACGGGAGTGGCACGGTGGGCCCTTGGTGTGTAGACCTGTTGCTTGCGTGTCCCAGGCTCTGAAAGCTTGGAGTGCGGAACTTACAGTATGAGCGCCAGGCAGATGAACGCAAGGCAATGGGCATGGACCGTGCTTGGGGACTGTGGTGTGCAAGGCTTCTCGCATGTTGGCATTTTCGGCCCAAAGTCGCACCATGGATAGGTGAGCTTGGGCGAGTAGTGGCCGCGAGGATCAACGTCACGGCAGGGGAAGGACTGGCACTTGTCCTTTGCGATGAGACGTTACAAGGCAAGCAGGGCAAGTTTTCGAAGCTTCTTTCTCGCATTTGCCGGGCTACTTGGCAGCCACCGCATAATCACCAGTTTCCTGGTGCCGCTTGGGCACAGAGCGCAGAGGGGCACTGAAGCCGGGCACGAGACAGCGAGCCGAAGGCATGTTATCAGCCTGGCTCCTGCAGGCCTTGCCGCAGCAGGCGCGTTCCCGATGCCGGCTGAAGCCGAAGAGGATGCTCCCAAGCTCTCGGCAAGCTGGCCGGCAAAGGATGGTGTGCAATTTCTGCGTTTCTACGAAGAGCAGTACAATGCTGAACGGGACGACACTCGGCGGACGCCTCAGTTCATCAAGGCCATCCAAGAAAGAATACGCGGCCGCGATGGCGTGACAGTGCTGGACATTGGGACGGGCCCCTTCGCATTGTTCGCTACTGTGGCCGCTAGGGCCGGTGCAAAGAAGGTCTACGCTGTTGAAGGCAACCCAGAGGCTGCCGACAGAGCGCGGGCCTTTCTCTTAGAGCAGGAGGATATTCCTGAAGGTGTGATTGAGGCACGGGCCGGGGTCTCCAAATCTAGTTGCATGTCCACACAGAGCCTCAGAACCTTGTGGAGAGGTGATTGATGGATTCTCGACTGCCGTGACCCTCCCAGAAAAGGCGGCTTCGAAAGCTGAATTTCTGCTCCCGTTGTTCTGTGGTTGAAGTCCCCGACATGAATGGCATGGCCGTCCACTGAAGCAGCTCATGGAGTGTAGCCAGAACTCTGTCATCGGTACAACTACCATGACATGACTAAGGGGAACAGGGGCTCTGACCTGAATATGTAGCAATTTTCTCTTATGCAACGCAAGTCCTGTGCCTGCCTGCTTGCGTGTCGTGGAGGTGGACCTGGTGTTCGCAGAGGTCGTCGGAGCCTTTGCCACTCAGGAATCCCGAAAAGCTGTGCATGTGCCCGGTTCGGTTCAGCTCTGACAAATTGGGTCTGCAACGCGGTGGCTGTCATTTTGTGATCGCACGACGGGAAAGTCTGGCTTGTCCATGCTGCCAGCGGATGGTACTAGACATGAGGTGACTCCCCGAAACCAGGCCATGAAGTACTGGTGGCACCCTTCTGCTCCTGATTTCTACCGTAGACACGGGCTTTGCTTTCATGACGTTTCGCTTTGAAAGCCGCAGGAGAACATTCTGGCCTCTATGAAGGCACGCTGGCTGAAGTTGGGGGTTCTCGTCTTCGTCTTTCTTAGGCTTTTGGCTGGCATGTCAAGCCCGGAGTCCTTTAGTGGACCTGAGGATGCGCAGAAGCGGCACATGAAGGACCCCAGCAACCCGGAGAATTACATTCCTGCGATCGTGCAGACTTGGACCGCTCCTGTCAGCTATGCCCTCCATCCCGTACTGGCTCCTCCAAAGCGGCTCTGACTCGAAGAAACAGAAGGGGCACCGATGAGTACCTGGGGTGTCAGTAGTCAGTAGCAGTATGCTTGCTGTGTTTCTTGTGCCGTCCCCCTTGAAGGTTCGAGAAGCTCCAGGGCCAGCCGCTGACCCTGAATCCCCGGGACCGTACATTGGAGTTGATCTCTGATCCCCAGGCCTAGCCAGAGAGACTCCGGATCCAACCATGCCGCGACTAACCTGCCAGGTTTTGGAGGAGATCCGCTTTGGTGAGGGCGAGCTGCCAGCGGGGCGCTGGGAGCAGAAACCTCTCAACTTCAAGGTGATGGAAGATCGGCTCCGAGCCAACTATGACCAGTACTTTGAGGTGACCCAATGCAGACAGTACGCGGCCTTTCGCGGTTAGATTCAGATCCACGCACCCGAGGCATTGACGACTAAAGAAGATACAAAGGCTGATGCTGCCAGGCTGTGTTGCACGTATCATGTTGCGCCGTAGGGTGTGCAGTCTGCCAGTACATGACAGGCCTCTGGCAAAGCAAACAGCTGAAAGCTTCTCTGGCATGGCTATATGGCCTCGGCTAGTCCTGGATCCAGCCCCTCGCTTCAAGAAGCTCCGTGCTTCAAGTTCCGTTTGGGCCACGGAGCTCTGAAATCCTAAGGCCGGGAAAATTGTGGTGGAGTCCCGCGGACTGAACGGCGAGCATCAGAAGAGCCACTGGCCCACGCTGCTGGCGCTGATGTCGCCAACACCGGTTCCTGTCCAGTGGCTGGGCAGCCAAAATCCTACAAGTAGGTCCTAAAGCCCCAGGTCCCAAACGGAAGTCGACTTCTTGTTGCCCCATGCCCCACCACTCGGTACCTCGTCTTTTCGCGACCTTTGCTCCTCGCTCCTCCGTCGGAAGCCGAAGAGCCAAGCATGCGAGCAGAGGGCCCCAGGGTGCCTTTGACCCTCAGGTCTGGCGACATCTTAAAAATCTCAGAGTCTGCGGAACTGGCGCGGGATCTTCTGAGTCCCGTGAAGTACTCCTTCAAGGGAGAGCTCCTACGGGGTTGAGGCCGGGGTCGGAGAGCTATGTGTGAATCTTCTTCAAAGAAAGAAGAATTGGCGATTTTCGTTAGTGCGAGGAGGTTCGCAGACGTAGTTTTCGCGACTCTGATGAGCTGCCAAAAGCGAGATAGCACACAGTTCCGACGCTGTTGCAAGGATGTGCCCAGCTAGTCAGCTAGTCTCCACCATGGGTCCGAGGACCGGATGAAGATAGCTCCTATGCTTGCCTCCTGCCGGGCCCTCAGCTTTTCGTGGCCCCTAGCTTTGACTTTAGGACATCCACCGGCACAGGTCCCAGCAGTCTTACATCAAAAGTTTAAGCTGGGCGCCTCAGATCTTCCTTTCGATCTTCAGAGCACAGCGGTCTTGTTGCCCTCTCCAGGTCGGAGTTTGCTCATGGTGGTCCTGGCCTCCTTTGATAAAATCACCTCCATCGCACTCTGCATTAGCAGCTGTCCCAGCTTCATATCCGCGATGCCATAGTCACGATCGTCTTTGTTTCAGCGTCTGAGCTTCATCTTTCGCTCGGGGCAGGCCTTTGCACTGACAAGGAGTTCATTGAGCTGAGGGAGTCATGGGAAGGTGTGCTTGTTGTGCCCGACTCTCGGGATCGCAGGGACAGGTTCACTCTCGGTGCTCTCGTGACCGAATCTGCGTGATTAATGTCGGCTGTGTGCCAAGGCAGTCCATCATAATCTTGTTTGTTGTCTACGTGCTGCTGTGGATTTTCACAGCAAGAGGCCGCGCAAACGCGCAGGCACCAAAGTGTTTGTTACATATGTTACATCGTGCTCTGGCAGAATTGCACAGTGTCCCACAAAACCTTGCCTGAGAAAGGTGCAAGCCGACATCGACTACGTGGGCGACTTCGTTTTGTCCTCAGCTTGATCTGCTCTGGTCTTTTTCTGAGATCGCCGGCCGCCTCCGAGCAGCTGTAAATTCGAGACACACGTCTTTGACCCTTGGCCGTAGCTGTTGCAGTCGGCGATGTGCACGAGGTGTGGCCCAACGGCGCCCCTGACATGGCGTCTGCAACACCGAGGCTCACCGGTGGCGGTTGCGTTTGCCGTTGCTTCTCTTGAATGTCTCTTGGGACTCGAACATCGTCTTGGCCGTGGAGCCACATACTGCTCAACTTGCGGGTCGAGGGAAAGGGAACCTGTTGTTCTTCGAGCCCGGCGAAGTCACTGGAACCGAGGCCAGAAGGAGATCGTCTCGTCCGACACCCAGCGTCGACGGGCTCCATGAACTTCGAAACGGGAAGTTCAAGGTTATATAACACTGCCGAGTCTGCCGAGGATCTCGTTTCAGGCCGCATCGGTTCAAGAGGCAGATTGCGAGATGTGGCGAGGTATGCCTTTCGAAAACATGACCTGATCACTCCTATGTCCTAGCTGTCCTACCTTCCCGAGTCAGAGCATCCCAGTGTCCGTACTTTAGGCCCCGGTGACCCTCATTCCCTGCCCTGACCCTTGAACGCTGCCCTGAACTCTGAACTGCAATGGCTGCTGTGGCCCGCGCGCGCGGAGTTCGGTGAGCCCGTGAGCATGCGCAGACCGGAAGCCGCGCTGCTCTGGGAGACTTGGGCTGCATGTTGCTTTAGCGTTTCGACCGGGAGTCGTCGGGTTTCCCACTCACTGGCATGTGAGAGTTTCAATGAATCGGTCGCAGAACGCTTCGCTAGAGGCCTAAGCCTAGGAGCTGGAGGCCATCCACGGTACAGAATGCCAAAGCCATTCCAACCTAGCAGCACTTTCTCTTTTCCTGCGCCTCTTTCGCATCCTGCTTTGCCCAGCTTTGCTTGGCACCCACGGTGGCGCTGCGGCCCCTTGGCTGCGCCCACCATCGCCAGCTCTTCAGAAGCTATGCCGCTTGGGCGTTATGACAGGTATGAAGGCAGTGAAAGCGTTGAACCAGCGGGCTGAGATGAAGGACAGCAAAAGGGCAGGCTAGGAACTTGGTTCGGTGGCAGAAGTGCAATGGAAGAGAGTTGTAGGGAGTTGCACATGCTCGCAACAGAAAACCAAGGAAGGACTGCGTGACACACTGGAGCATTTTCTTGGTTTTTATGATGGCTACCGCTTCTTGTTTGCAGCTTTACCACACTACGAGGGAAGCAACATCTTGACGTACCTTTGAGACTTTCTCGTGTCTTTGTACGTGGCTTCTCTCGTTGCAGAGGACACGGTAGACCAAAGATCGTTCCGGAGCACATCCGGCTGTTTCAGCTCAATGCCGTGGCTTTGGACTTCCTGGCAGCTTGGTTTTATCATCTGCTTTAGTTCCCCCCAAGTGCTTTGCTGCATGTTGCTCCCAGGAGATTGCAGACGCTTTCCGGCTGTTTGCGCACGGGCCCCGATATGTGAGAGGGCCGTATCAGCCGCCGGTCGGCCAGTACCTCATCTGAACGGCAAGAACAGACTCAGGTGCTATATCCTGTGCCCACAAGTTTGTGCAGATCCAGCCGAGCTAGACATGGCGTTCTCGCAGTTGCAGCTGGTTGAGAAGTGCCCTGGCTATCCGTGCGTGGCTGGGAGAAGTTAAGATCCTGGAACCTTCTGTTCAGTTCTATGAGTTCCATGCCATTCTGTGGCCAGTCCAAGGGACGCTATACTTCGAGGTCATTGCTTGTTGGAATGCTTGCCTGCTAACATATGCTGAATCAGGCTGAACAACCTGCAGCTGGATCTGGAGCTTCTCGTCGGAGAGGGTGGGCGAGACTTCCTGGTGGCCTCGCAAAGCTACCTCCGCGAAGCCAAGAGCTATGCGGTGGCTGAATTGCACTTCTCAAGCTGTTGAGCTCAGCGTGATGGTGCTGCCAAAACAACTTTTGGGGAACGGGGTAATCAAGGCTTACAAAGTCTTACATGCTACTTGTAGTATATGTAAGATTTCGTGCGATAATCTGCAGATCCCCAGTCATACACAGAAAACGAGCGTTTACTGCCTACTAAGGCAACATTGGTCTTCGACGGTCCCCGGCAGCAAGTATCAGGCCGGCTTGCGACACAGTTCTTGTTTCTGGATGATATGGGTATACGACGACTAAGAATTTCAAGCCGAATGCTTGTAGAATTGGTAAGTCGGAAAAATAAAATCGATCTACTGATTTTCGTACCAGTGCGACTGAACTATCCACTCATGGGGCTGTTGGTCGACTTTTTGTCCCCACCAGAGCTGCCTTCCCCTCATGGATCGGCGAATAAATGTCCACAGGTATCGACTGGGACGAGGCGTACGGGACGTGCGTTGCTCGAGTGGCGTCGCGGATCCTTTTCCCAGCCATGCAGGCAAGCTCCCTGGGCAAACTCAGCAGGACGTGCACATGCAAGCGCTTTATGAATGCACGCTGCTGCAAAACTGGGCCGTCTCTGTTCGTGACCTTCCCAGGTGCTCTCACTGGAGTGTCTTGGCTCGCAGACACCGGGTGTTCCTGATGGCCGTCCGTCGAAACGCCTGCCTACAGCACTTCAGCAGGATACCACGTCCGACTGAGGTCCAAGAGCAATGAGAGCCACATCATTCTATCCGGTGTTACATTTGACGAGTCGGATCCAGCATCGGCATCCAGCTCCTACATCTATCCGCTGCCCGGGACACGTCCCAGCAAGCGATCGCCCCAAGCTCTGGGAGAGCTTTCGTTTCCAGTGCTCCAGTCCCTGGCCACCGGAGGGAAAGCGGTTCGGCTTCTGTTTGGCCCTGGTGGCAAGGGGGGTGCGACGGGCCGGTTGTGCGATGCGTCTCTGTCGCCGTTCATCGGAGACGGAGACACGGATATTGCGTGGCCCAGACGGTGGCGGCTGCCGCCATGGGGATCCAAGCCCGTCCCTACCGTCATGCAGATGCTAGAGCAGATTGAGGCCGCGAGGATGGATCTGTCGCACTCCTTCATTGCCGTGAGGCCGACTGCAGATGGTGCCTGGGCGCAGAACTTCAGCTGCACGGGAACGGATATATACTACGACCCAAGTCTGTGCTTGGAAGTGCTCGGCTACGGTGGGTATGTGTGGTCTGTGAATATACACCCTCCCTACAAGGGCGAACTTCGTATTGCCGGACGCCGGCTGGGCGATGTATCGCAGGCAGCTATTAGCAAGTTTATTGATCCGCTGCGACCCTACGACAGCCACCACTTTGACACGGTGTCTATTGAGCACCTCTTCCACAGGCTAGATGTGCTGTGGCGACAGTCCACCGAACCCGCGCCCGATTTATTCTTCCTTCATCCTGCTACCCACAACTGCCATGCCATCGAGTATCTTTTCTCAGGTGCGCCCTTGCAGCCAAAGATTCTCGTCGTGCCGATCAACCCACTCATACCTCCACCCTTTGAGGTGCTCCCCAGATATGAGGCATGGTGGCATATCATGCGGCCGGCATGGCGTAACACCCGCTCAGCAAAAGGTTGGGTGCAGCATTCGGTGGAAGATCTGGCAGATGGTTTCGGTGATGATGCCATGGATGAGTACCTAACCGCGGCCCTTTGGATGGGGCAGTGCTCGTTGGCAGCTGTCGACAGCATGCTGGATCGTATGAGTGTGAAGAAGTTCCGCATCTTTGCTGAAGAGTCTGCAGGTAAGCACGGCAGAGGCAGTTCAGTGTCAACAGTGTTGTGAAAGTTTTTCTCTATACGCGTGATGCAGAAATCTCGTCTGGCCAAGGGTACATTCTACACCACGTTTCCTTTGCCTATGCTGTCTATGTGCGGAAGGACATCCAGACTCATCTGGCTCGCCCTCAAGCAAGTCAGCCGCACCTGACCCGGTCTTAACTTTTCTGGTCTTTGTGGTGTCGTCAAGGGTCCCCCTTCCTGGCAGAGGGCTGATCTGCAAGTGTCCGTTGAGCCTCATTGCTTACAGCTTTGTTGTGTTTTTGGGTCGACTTCTTTTGAATGTGTTCGCTTTTTTGGGTTGTTCGCGCATACGTCCTTTCCTTCCGCTTCATTTATTGTCTTTTGCTGTGAGGCTTTTTACTTGCAGCTTGTTGTGTCTTTTGCTCCCTGACACTTTGTCTGTCTCACCTCCTAGAGTCTGCTGTAGCACCTAGCCTTGGTCCTAGCTTTGTGCTTCTGATCTTCGCCTTTTGCTTTTCTGCCTCGTTGGTTCCCGCTTTCTCCCGTGCGTTGGTTACGTTGGAGGTGTTCTCTGCTGTTGCTCCCTGATCCTCCGTCAACAACTCCAAGCTCTCCAGACAGAATGTGACACGCGATAGAGAGAAGCAGAGCCGAACCCCGCTGCGAACTAGATGTAGAGGCATCCCGATTCTTCTTTCTCCAGCTGGTTGAGAGGCGGGAGGCTCAGTCCATGGCCATGATTAGGGTGCATGGATGGACGTGCCTGCTCACATCTGTGTGCTTGAATGCCGAGCAAACACGGGTAATGGCAGGTTCCACGTGGTTCCTCCATGTTCCGTTCTTGACGCCTCAGAGAATCAGGTTGGCACTGTGCGACTGGCAGCCGCTACTTTTCAAAGCTGGAGCTGGTAGCCGGGCCAGCCGCTGGGTATTGAAATTGCTACCAAAGACAGGCGAAGCTTGAGGATTGTTGAATACCCATGATTTTCTGAGGACATGGGTCGTCTCGCCACTTGGCTGGAGGGTGGGGGCCAGGTATCGCGTATCAGCGACACGAGTAGTGTCTTTCACAGGCCAAGATCAACTCGACTCTTCCGTTAAGGTGTCGAGCCCGCGAACTTCTCCTGTTACCTTGCCTTTGTGGCAGAGGGCTGCTCAGCGATTGAAGTTGAGCCGAGGCAGATCCTGCCGTGCCCAGACGGGAAAAGGAGAAGATCATCTGCTACTTTTTGGACCGTGCTTTGGCCGCACAGTGTACCAAAAGCTTTGTTTGAACGTGTACGATCAGTGCTGGCTGCACAAAGGGGGGATTCTCGCTGAGGCCAAAGCATCCCAGTTCAGAGACGAAACTTCGACTGCCAAGCACACCTGGCCAACCGAGATAGTTACTCCGAGGTTGAAGCGGAGAGTTGCGTGCGTCCAGACCATCGTGGGTGGGGGAATGATCCATACGTCTCAGAGACGATTCAGGATTCGGTTGGTGCGTGCGAAGCTCACTGCAGGGCTTCTGCGTGCAATTATTGGACGTATGATCCCACCGCTCTTTATGGCCAGCCTCTCTGTTGGATTTGGACTGGAGGACGCCCGGCAGAGATCAAGTCCGAGCGTGGGTGGATATCCGGAGATGCAGACTGCCGCCGTGATGAGCTCGCCCGTGAGGCACAGGCTTCAACATCGGCGGACAAGACAGATGAAGAGGACTGGCAAAAATTGGACGAGGCATCCGAAGATCAAGTGCTGGTCGGAACGATGCCCGGTCCAGGCAGCAGCAGGGAAGTTTTCAAGCAGTGGGCTGTGAAGCAGCTGGATGAAATTCCGGGAATGAAATACTTCTTGGAGTCTGAGAAGCGAGGCCGCTGTGTGAAAGGTTTCTGTGAATGTTTTCCGCCACATCGAGGGCCGTTGTGTGAGCAGGTGGACGCAGGAACAAGGGACGCTGACCGCAATTTCTCAGCAGTGCTGCATTACCTAACGTCTGATGACGACACCGACATCGAGGATATTCAGCACAGCCTTCCTCGTCTGTGGCGGCGCTTCAATCGGCGCTTCGATTACCCCGTGGTTGTCTTCAATGACGGGCTCTCTGAGATTCACCGCCAGCAAATTGTGAATGCTTCGAGGAATAGGATTTGGTTCGCATACGTAGATGATTACCTTGAGATACCAAGTTTCATTCTGGATGACCCTTCACGTAAAGCCGCTTTGGACGACATAAAGTGGTCTCTGGGATACAGGGGTATGTGTCGCTTCCGAAGTGGCACGATCTTCTTGCAGCCGGTCCTCCAGAACTTCCAGTATGCGATGACTCTGGACACGGATGGCTACTTCCCCGCTGAAGTCAGCGCAGATCCTATTTCCGCAATGCACGAAGGCGGATACGTCTACACGTGGTCTCACTTGCTGCCTGACTTGCCAGGGGCCGTTCGCCATTTTTGGGAATATTCCTTGATGTACATGAAGATGAAGGGCATAGATCCGAGAGGAACGCCGATCCTGAGACAGTTTGTAAGAGAGGAAGATGTTCAGTGGACCTACCAGCTCTACATGAACGATATTGAGATCGTGCAGCTGGATTGGTTCAGATCTGACCCCTACCAGGACTACTTCAGGCCAGTTCGAAAGTTGTGTAGAGATTCCTTTGACTGATCTGATTGTCTTTCTGCAACGTTCTTGCCTGGCAGGTACTTGGACTCCATAGGTGGCTTTTGGCTCCACCGTTGGGGCGACCATGCCATGCGCACCATTGCTGTTGGAATGTGGTTGTCGGAGGACCACTGCAGTGAAACGCCATTTAGTCGATCATGAGGCGGTAGCTTCTCGCCACACCATCATTTCATCCACTGTTGCAGCAGCATCACATAATCTTTGGATGATGTGATGTTGTGACAAGCTGTGAGGAAAAAGTCTTCGAGATGGACGTCCCGATCCTCAACTGCAATTGCGAAGACAGCACGTGGAAGCCTCTAAAAAGTAAATGGTAAAAATCGGTCCTCCATTTGTAAAGCAGATCACTACAGACCTGGTATGCACGCAAGGTACGGGCACCAGAACTATTGCCGGTGCAGCGGAGCAGCTTGACACTAACTACTCATGGCGATCCGTCGTTTCTGTACACAACGTAGAACATGTGCAGGAGGGAGAGCCTGATTCCGCCTAGGCACATCCGCATCTGTCCTGCGTGCGCGAAGAGGATGTTGGTGGAGTCCCGGCCAAATGGTGGATTTGCGCAGGTGAGGAGTCAGCAGTCGAAAGCGATGCCTGATCGCGGGTGAACTACCTCGACCTGTCGGCGCGTACAATATCGGCCTGGGGATCAAGACGGTGGCAGTGCCATGACCGCACTCTGCTGTTGTCGATCTCCGACTGCACAGACAGAGAGGTGTGCATGAACCGAATGCCTTCGTCACGTCCTTAATGTATTTCCTAGCCTCTCCCTTCGCTTGCTTACCTTCACGAACTCTGTCGGAATCCTTGGATCCGGGATTCTCGAACTGGCGCCGCTGGAGGATCTTATCGGAGGCTTGCCCGAAGAAGAAAGGCGGTGATGGCCAAGGCCAAGGCTCACAGAGGCTGCGGACTCAGTTGTGCAGGGGGCATCTGACACTTCAGTACGAAGGGGGTGGTGTGGCTACCTCCACCCAAACCGGCTTCCAATGCTTTGTTTGGTTGGACGTAGTGCCATGATCGCAGGCTTACTGAGGCAAACCATGGCTGCATAGAGCAGCCTTTGCACAATCCGCAAATCAGCTGTGATGTTGTTACTGGACCTTAGTGCACAAGTCTGTAAGTGCTATCATGCCTTGCCAAGCTCAAACTCCATTCAAACTGCGCCTATGGCCATTCTATGATTGCATGCCTGCGAGGTTGGAGGCCGAGCATTCGGAGCTTCTGGGCGCGGGGATCTGACGGAGCAACGAAGCAAAGGGAGTTGCTGGAAAAAGTGTGGCAAGAGCCGAATTACCCGACAGATTTCGCGTTCAGGGTCTTGCACTTGAGATTTCAGTTGTGAGACTGTGAGTCAGGGCTTGGAGGTGGTCTCTTTTGCATTCTTTTGCTGCCATCTGCACCTGACAAAGCTCACTCTTGTGCTGGACCATGCAGTGTACGAGTCGCAAGTTGCAAGTGACCGACATGATCATCGGCGCCAGCAGAGGCTTCAAACCTGGCGATGCGAATCTCACTCACTTACATGCAGTTGTCGCAGCCTTAGTGTAGCCACCACTTTGACTCAATTCCAATTTTCTGGCTGCCGACTTTCATTGTGAAGCATTCGGACCCACTTTGTTCCCCTGCAGTTTCTTGCCCCTCGGCTCTGTGCGAGCGCAAGTCAGTCTCGCGACTTGCCACGGTGTAATGTCGGACCTTGCTGCATGTCTTGACCCTGAATACTTTTGATTTGTTGGTGCTGCTCTGCAGGACTCACGACACTTGTAAAGAACCTTCCGATGTGTTGCCTCGCCCCTCTGATTATTCCGAGAATATTAGGTCAGCCACTCGCAGTTCAGAGGCTGAAGGTTTGTGATGTGGACGTGTCTTGTACGCAACGAAAATGTCAGCCGCGTTGCCGCAACAATCCGGTTGGGAGGGCGCCCCACGATGATACCGGGCGTTTAGTGCAGCATGGTCTCTGACGCCTGCCGCGCTCGGCAGATACATGGCGCGTACCCGTTACCCTGCGAAAATGCCCCAGGTGCTGCGTGCCTAAACATGCCTCCAGGCAAGGCAGCAGATGTTTCCCCGAATTCGGTGCATGTCCGCTGTACCTCCTTAGCTGCTTCAACTTGCATGAGCGTGCACATGCTGACGTAATCCTGGACAGCTTGGAGCTGTGTAGCCCTGCCGATCCAAGGTTCTCGATCCCGTACTTAGTGACGGACGTTGTGCAGTCTCGGGCTTGTCTCGCGCTAACAATTCGACTGATCGTGCCGGGGTCGCATGGTAAGGTTGTGCCACCCTCGGAAGGGTGCCATGCGATACGCCGCGCAATAGCCTTAGCTGCAGTCAGTCGAGGGGTTTGCGCATACGAGCCGTACCACATGAATGGTGCGTCGCTTCCACACTGCAGAGTGAAGCTTCTTGATAACGCTGTCCGGTACATCGCAGACAACCAGGCTCAGGGTACTCCTTTTGAGGACGCCGCAGATTCGTGCCTAGCCCGCGGAGCAATGGCGAACCCAGGGGAGCTTTACACAATCCCGTTCTCACACTACTGCGAGCTGGCCAGGTGGTCCCTGCATATTGCAAAGATGCTTGAACGGAACTAGTGAGTGCTGATTTTGTTTTGGTATTTTTGAGTCCACGTCAAGGGCTCTACCAGATTCGCTTGTGCTTGTCCACACCGAAAGAACGCACATGAGTCATCCATTGAGTTTGATCTCTCGGAGCCACAAACTAGACACCCATTCATTGTGAACGACAGAGGCGTGCAATTGCAGAGTTCCATGTGGAAGGAGGTTGTCTGATGTGTCGGAATGTGGGCATGCTGGGGGCCCTGGGGCACGTAGAAGTCAGCGATGGCTCGGCAGCTTTCCTGATGCCAAGGATCCCCTTCACTGAGTACCCCTACCTGCCGGGCCTCCACATGTTCTTCAGCCCGGTGGAGCGAATTCGGAAGCGCGCGCGCGAGGCGGGCACCGGAAAAGGCAGCGGCACCCCGCTCTACGTGACCGGAAATGGTGAGGTCTTTGACGATTCTTGGCAGGTGCTGAAGCTCACCGGTCTTGGAGATGTACCTGAAGATGTTTTTCAGACTCTCAACTACGTGATTGGCCCACGAACTCGCAGCGTCACCTATTCCGATCTCTTGAAGGATGAACAGGACGGCACTTTTTACGAGTTTGGCAAGACTGCGCCAGTTTCCTGGTGGCAGCATTTCCTTTGGGGCATCAGCGGCTTTCGCCGCACAGTGGCTTGGCGCAAATTCTGAGGACGTCAGGCTTCCATAACACAGCTAAAAATGTTGTTTGCAACTCTTCTTGGGTTCATGCCTCATGCCTCACGCAATGTCGATTCACCGTTCATCGTTTCAGCCACAGGGCCCCAGGGCTAAGACACCAAATCTTCTGTGCTGTGTACACCGTCGGACATAGTCAAGTGAGGATAACGAGGACCGAGGAGCGGAAATGGCAAGGCTCCATGTGGCAGCTGCAAGTAGCTTGCAACTTCGTGCAAGGAACTGAAATGTCGTTTGACGTTGGCAACCCGGAAAACATGTGTGTGTCAGTTCCCTCCACCGAAATGGTGAAATCGTGTTGTAGCTAGGACAGGACAGTTGCTTGCAAACGCGAGCCTGTGAGCCGGACAGGTGGCTGGAAAAATGTGGGACCAGATGGTGGGTGATGCAGAGCGCCAAGCCAAGGCCTCCAGGGCATGAGGGAAAGCTATAGCCAAAGTAGCAGTGCAGCCAGCAGCCCTGCATCCTTGGCAGGGCCTCCAGGACTTGGAGGAGGCCATTGTCAAGCTGGAGGCCGAGCTGGCAAAGCCTGGATCCTGTTTCAAGGCCTCGAATCCGGACCAGTTGACAGCCTCCGCCGTGGCACTCGCGGCGCTCTTCGCTCCAGCTGTGTTGCCGCCGGAATATACAGGCGGTCTTATTCCAGAGATGAAGCTGGAAAGCTTTTCCCCAAGCCACCAGCAGCGAATTAACTCTTGGAGAGAACGGCCTTTAGGCAAGTTTACCCTCGAAGTGTACCGTAAGCATCGCATGGCTGCAGTGCCAGCTGCGTAAAAAAGTCTACACAGCTAATCTGGGTCGCATGACCGTTTTCCTTTCAGGCAGGATTGCGCGAACGTGCACCTGCCGCTTTACAAGCATGGTTTGTAGTCGTGTTTCGGTCTACTCAATAGTGGTGGCCTGTCACGGCTATGGACCGACGCTGACGAACTCAAAGCTGCGTGAGACAGACAAGAGAACAGGAGCCATGGCCTTCATTCATGTTCAAAGTGGAGTGGTACTTGCTTGGGTCACTGAGAGAATGGCGGCCAATTTGCCAAGGCTAAGTCATCGTGGCAAGGTCCCTCGAGTTTTTGCCCTAGGCTACGTCAACAAGGCCTGGGTAATGTGCTGCATCCGGATGCCAATGGCAAGATAAATGTAAAGGGCCGCAGCATGCCGCCCGGTGACTCGCCGTGACTGCGCGACACCTGCTCATAATCAGGGAGTACAAGAGGTTGATACCAGGATTCAACCGACCCCGCACCAGCGCAGGTAATGTTCCAGTTTGAGGAGACTGTGGCAGCCTCACAGCTTGGACAATTGAGTAGCCTTTCCGCTTTACGTGTCATCCTTGGCTGCTGTTGCAATCTCCAGGTGGGAATCCTCACACAACTGCCGAATTTGGCACTTGTAAAGCTGCCCTGCATGGCGATGAAGGCACTGATCACACATTGTCCTCACTTTCTTCTTCAGCTCATGTCAAGCTGTTGAATGTAATTGGGCCATGTTAGATAAGGAGGCAGGTGCTAGAGACGTAGCAAGCAAGCGCTTTCGCCCGGGAAGGGTGGGCTCGGCTAGCCAATGTGTCCTGGAGTTTCCTTTGCCTGGCACTGTCAGCCCCGGTGCGAATAACGCCCAGCATTCTATGCCTGCAATGCCTTTGCGGCTTAGCCTCGCGAATAACATGAAGAAAGGATGACGTCATTCCTGTGTGAGGACATGCTAAAGGCGGAGCAGCGACAGCGAAGGGCGAACCTTAAGCCCATGAATTGTGCATTGGAGTTTGGCGCTTGCAAGCAAGCACAAGCCGGTCAGGTTTAGCCTCCACCCAGTCAATTCCTCCTGCCTGCCCCGGAGAGGTCTACATGTTCGTTTCGCTGAAGCACCTGGGCAAAAGTTGGATAATTTAACGCACTCGATATCCTCGGTTTGGACAGAGTCGAGCCATTATCGAATCACTTCTCAGGCGCAGCGTCCTCGTTCTGGTCAGCGCATTGTGGGACTTCCTGTTGTTTGTGGTGAAGGCATGTCTCGGCTGACTCCTAGCAGAACAACTTCTTAGCTGGCCTCCCAAGTCAAATGACATATTCGATCAGACACTTGGGATACATGGAGCTATCCACAGAAGCAGGCGAGTTCACAACACATGCCCGAAGATCCGCTCTAGATTGCAGCCTGCCCGCGTCCTAGGTGTCCAAGTTGCAGCCTAAACTTGCCGATGTGTTGGCAGCCGCAGGGTTTCATTTCAAACATACGCAACATGTCTGAAAAGTAATCACAGCAAGCATGACGGTAGCACTGCGTTACAATAACTTAAGACTGGGGCAAGCCTCCTGGCTCAACATCTTGCGGGTTGTTGTATACACATTTTGCTAGCCGATGCCAACAGTGCCGCGTGAATTGTGACGACTCTCCAATGGCTCCAGCTCAGATCAGCACCAAGAAGCACCTGCCGCGTCACTCTGCATTGGGTAGACGATACCAGTAGAATGGCGCCGGTTGGCAAGGCCAAAAAAGGAAGCGTAGCTTCCGCCCAGTGGGCTGTTACCCAGCTCCCAACACTGCCGATGCCGGATCCTGGGCAGCTACCTTGTGGTAGCATGGTCCCAGTCGAGCAGCTGCAGCTCCAAGCGATGGAGTACGAAGACATGGATGACACCGTGAAGCAGGAGATTCGCTGGCGATGCCTGGCCGAATGCATGGAGCCAGCCGAGGTTGCTTGCGCAGTGTTTTCCAGCATTGCCCTTCAAGTGCTTGGTGATGTCAGCCTTGATCCGTTAGACGAAGGTGATCAGATACGCTTGCGGCGCCACTCGCATTCGGTGGTGATGATTAATGCGCTGATGGACGAACGTGGCAGTGTTTGCCTGGTGCAGGATGGGTATGACACGCACGAGGCACCCTTAGCACTTGCCGCTTGGCGCTTAGAGAAACGGAGCATTCCCTGCACCTATGATACCTACTTGAACGAGAGCGGCAAGGTGCAAACTTTTAATGTGTGGTGCGGTAACATCTACAAGCACCGACACGTGATTGGTGTTCTCCGCTTTCCAATGCCAGAGATCTCACCTTTCGGAAAGTGGCGTGGGCTCCTTGCCGAGCGCTTCATACTGCGTGCGCGGCAACTGGCTCTCGACCCGCGGAAATACCACGAGAAGCCCGTCCTCGAATACCTTCATGAAATAGCATCCACCACGACCCCTGGCAGGCCATACACCGGCATTGAACGCTGCTGCGGAAACGGGGTGACCTCAGGGTTCAACTGTGTTTGCCTGGTACGCCCCCGCCATTTTGCGGCGCATTCCGCGATTTGGACACTGTGGGCTTCCTCGCGGAAGTGGCCACCGTGGCTCGTTCTGAGGCGAACACTTGATGGGATATCAAAACCAGGTCATCTGCCTTTGGCGGTCCAGTCCGCAATCATCTCGTTCATTGGCCATGAGTTCACCGAAGAGATGTTTCTTCAGAGTGAGCAGCCTTTCGAAGTGCCAGACCTCGACCAGTGGGAGTGGTGGTTTCAAGCCTGGCAAACCAGCCCAGCTGCATGCAGCTAGTTGAATATGGGTGGACCACCCCTCCTTGCATGCGTGCGGAATTGCAGCCGTTTGAGCCTGGAGTGGAGCTGAAAAGGTGCGCAGAATCAAGGCATTCATCACGGCTTGCAGATGAACTAGCGAGCTGAGGAAGCATGTTTTTTGCGGCCCCCTAGCGTCTTAGGAATGTGTGAACCCTGCAGGTGTACATGATTATCGCTCACGTTGAGACCGCGGTCAAGTTCAAGAGGCTTGCACAAAGAGATCGAAGCAAAGTGCACGAAACAGTCAGACGATTGCAGTTGGCTGGTGGCTTCGCACCCCGATGCCAGCCGGGCTGCGAGGCGAACGGGAGCATGCAATGATGAGTGACTTTGAGCTTTCCATACATGACTGCAAATGCTCCAGAAGTTGAGCTGACAAGTTCGCACGAGGGCATTCATGAGTCTGTCGGTGTGTACCAGCATGTTGTCGCAATGTCCCGGCTGCCTCCGAACTTGTCACTTCCACAGAATACCTCCAGAAACCGTGGCAGTCATTGCAAGTTGCAGAGGGCCACGCCCATGATGTCCTCAGGACGGTACGGGAGAAGCTGCTCAAGAAGCATTTCTTCTTTCACGAGTCGCCTGAGAAGTCGGAGCCTCGATACGGGAGCTTTCCAGTTCAGCAGTCCAAGTTGTTCCAATGACGATCCTTGTGCCGCTGCAGGCCTGGACATTTGGAGGATCCTGGCGCACTGGGGCGGGGCACTCAGGCTCCGTGGAGGCTTGGGCACGTGAGGCAAAGCGAAGCATTTTCACAGCGAGATGAGCCAAGATGGATCTGGCTGCTCTTCGGCAGATGCCAGGAGGAGCAGCGGAGCCCGAACCCAGTCAGCATGTTATGTTGCCCACAGCATTGCAAAGGCATGCGACTGTGCCATCCGAACGTGATTGACACGCCTTTTACTGTATAGTTCTGTGAAGTGATGCCATGAGTGTACACTGCATCGTAGGCTCGTCCTAGCCAGGCGGGAGGCAAAAGTTATGTTGCCCATGCATGGAATTGTCGAGAGCTTGTCTGCAGTGTGAAGCCGGCCCCGTTGGCTTCCAAGATCTAAGGACCGGTTACCTCGGTCGTTGGACGCAAATCAGTCCGGGGCCAAGCTAAGCCATCGTTCAGGGTTTGTGGCCTTCTCTTATTAGCTCGCCTCAGCCTGTGCGGATGCTTGCATGTTGAACTTGGGTATCAGACACCATACTTTCCCTGGGTTGCCTCAGGTGCTACGCTACCTTCCAGTCCGAACTGGCCTGCCAGCCCGACCAAGCCGTTTATGCCGGGACCAGGACGTTCGACCAGTGTCATGGTTGCATAGCAACGCAGACGGTTGGCAGCAGCTTTAAGTCATGATTTGAGCTGTCGGGCCTTGTGCAAACAAAAATCTGTGGGCCTTCTGTTGATTATGGAAGCCGTCTCATCTCCTTGTCCAACGAGACCTGCGTGAGGTGAGATGTCACTTTCCGGCAGTTGGGTGGAGCACTCCGTTCCCTTGAAGATGGCGCGCTCCATTTTGGCACCAAGGCTGGTGGAGTTGACTGCCTCTTACCCCCCCTCCTCCCCAACTCACCGGCGAGCGCGGGGGGGATAAGAAGCAGCACTTGCCACGCGCTGTTTCAGTTCTGCTGTGATAGCGTATCAAGAAGGCCGGGCGAAGAAGTCGGCAGAAAGACCGTGTTCGCAAGCCTGGTCCTTGATATGAGGGAGCTTGTGCACCAAGCCTGCAAAGCAAGAGAGAGTTGACCCGAATTCTTGCTCAGGTGGCATTCCAACAATTTCCTCCAAAGTCGTTGACGGACTGTCGTTGGTGCACCCAGGAACCAGTTCCGTCTGGGCCCCGGTGCCAGTTGTTAGACGTATTGACACTGTCGCTCGCAAGAAGCGTCGGAGATGATCGATGGATAAAGTTTTCCTGCATGTCCGGTCTTGCAGCTTTTGCTCGAGCTCGTGTTGTCACACCCTCGTGCACTTATTTGCCACCCGGCGGAACATAATTTCATAATGCTTCCACTCCAAGGACGGGTGTCTGATTGCCAGGCAATTATGATACTGCTGAAGTTCGCAAAGCCTGAAAATGCCAAGTCGACACATCTGTTCTTGTTGTTCAGGCTTTGCCCACGCGGAAGCTGAGACGTGGGCCGACCTGAGATTGACATGAGCAAATATGGGGTCCTGTCCAGCGCCATAGATGCAATTCAAGCATCCCTTAATCCCTGTGCCTGGGATTCGCCTGACTCTGTAGTCAAACTTGGCGGCTTATCGTTTTTTTTGGATTGCTGGTTTTAGGCGTGTCCAAGCTCAGGATCTGACGGGCACTCCAAGTGGTTCCTCCAGAAGACTTTGTTGGAGCACGACAAGTCCATGGATCACCCGTGGTGCTTCGACTGCAAAACCGATACCGTCCAAAGTCTCATTGACCACGTTAGACTGTTGTACAACAGCTGGCCGGTTTGCTGCTGGATCAGATGTCTCCGCGACGTGTAGAAGCTGTGTATCTCGCTGACAGGAAGCTGCACATGTAAAGTCCCGAGCAGAGGATGCAGATGATTTACAAGCAGAGCTTCAGCTTGAAGCAGTACGCAGCATGGTTGGCGTTGAACCACAAGGTCTTCCAGGCCAGGGGCAGCACTTCGAAACACTTCGCCCCTTTGTTGTTACATGTGCGATAATATTCTATGACCCTAGTATACTGTATTAATATGTTTTACATTACATTTTCCACGATATTATGCTATACTATGTATGGAGGGGAAATTCGGGTTTGGCCAAGGCCATGGAGGCGAAGTTCGATCCTTCCGCGGAGCCGATTCGCGGCTTCGGCAGATTAGGGGCCCCGTCGGGAGTCAGTCGAATACATCCAATATCGAAACATCATAATGCCGTAGGCAAAAGTTTTATAATACGATAGAATATTGTAGAATGTGTAGTCTAATAGAACTCAGATGTAGTAGAGCATAATGGCTTCTAGGGCGTCGGGTTCAGACTATTTTGTTGAGTGAGTTCAGTGTTCAAGACTTGGCTGTGCGAGCAGAGTCCAAGAATCCACGGTCATCCGAGTTGTGGGGGCGCAGGGTCAGGAAGCAATCAGCGCAACATTTTGAGTCGACATGAATGGGCGCACCGAGGCGCAGTTCATGATGACGCGCTCGCGCGGACCCAGAACTTAGAGGCATCCTGGCCTGCCATGACAGTTTGACTGATCCTTGTGTCTTTGAGCTGCAGAGGCAGACTTGGCTCGACTGATGGGCCCAGAGTGGACTGAGGAGCACCCAGCCAAGTTCGGTTGACACTTAGTGTCCTCACGATTGGGGGAAGGTGCTTGATGTTGTATGGCTTTAAGTTTAAAGAGTTTCAGAATTTCAGCGGGTGTTCTATGAACATCTATAAACCAAGGTTGTCTGTTTAGGCGGTGCTCTGAACCTCAGAAGCCTCAGCAGCGACGGCCAGGAATCGGCAGGGATCTGCTCGGCGTCTTCTGCTGCGAAGCAGTATTTGAAAGGCCTGCAGCTCGGGAGGTCTTCAGGGCTTTGATGCAAGTTTCGCCTTCTAGTTTCCTCGTAAGATAGCATGGCATCAAGCAGCGAGTATTGTGAAAAACACCGGCACAGGCTTTGAAGTGGACGCGGCTGACCCGTACTTGCTGCTGTCACATCACTTCCTGCAGTACAATGCTTCTCGGCGTTTAAAGCGGTGGGTTGAATTGCTTGAAGCTGTAGCTGTCGAGCGGATGTGCCAGCCGGGACAAGCTGCTACTGTGATAGGCATTCAGTGTCCTGTACTGAGCTGTGTCAAACACGTGTTCCATGCAGGCAGTGCTCAGTGGTGGTGCTTACTTGGGAGAGATGGTTTCACAGAAGCTGTGTGTTCCGCACGGCGCCCCGGGTGTGAAATTCTACCACTTCGAAGGAGTGCAGCCTGGCAAAGAGCCAGCGCGAGTGCAAGAGTACTTGAGGGCATTCGACCAGCTGCAGATCGATGAGGATGCGCGAAGACGGATGCTGCAGTCCATGAAGCGTATCTATGCCGACACGGAAGCCATGATGACAGAGATTTTCCAGATGAACCCAGCAAGCGGCGTCAGCTACAAGACTTCAAAGGAGGGCTCGGAAGCCGGCGAATTGCCGGCCCCCTGCAAAGAGCAGTTGACGCTGAGCCTCCAGGACTTCAGCCACGCCGTGTCTTTTTCGTGTGACCCCCACAGCGTTTCTTGCGCCTCTTTCGGAAGGAGCTGAGGGAGTACACCGGCGACGCCGAAGGACGCATCCTCATCGGCCTTGCGGGAGAGCTGCTGGACGTCAGCTCTGGCCGAGAGCCGCCCGGCCCAAATGCACGTGCACTGGTCGAGCTGTCGAGTTGCGCCTTCTCTGAGTGCTACGGTTCTCTCGTTTCATGAGGATGTATGGGCCGGGCGGCGGGTACTCAGAAACTGGGCTGCATGATTTTTCCAGCACTGCACCTGCCGCACAACCGTGACATCCTGGTGTTGCTGCGGTCAGGTGCTGGCCGGTCACGACGTGACAAGATGTCTTGCAACGATGTCTCTCGAGCCAGAGCATTTGGACGATTTGAGGCAGGAGAGATCATCGAAGGAAGACGTTTTGATACCCTGCGCATGTATCCGTGTGTGTGTGTGTGTGTGTGTGTGTGTGTGTGTGTGTGTGTGTGTGTGTGTGTGTGTGTGTGTGCACGTGTGCGCTTTGCTCCATGCTGACGGATCCGAACTGCCAGACGCTACTTAGGGAGGGTCACCAGATGCCTAGTTGACCGCCGGACGAAGGTGGGCTCCGGATTGCGCAGACGACGAAGAAGCCCTCACTCAGTGGCGGCAACGGCTGAAGGAGAAGTATCCTGTGGCAGGACGCGCAGTGTCGGTAATCCTGATGCCTGGAGCCTTTGCAGGCATCTCCATGACAGTCTGAGAGGGGATGTCTCGCGCTCTGTTGTGAGAGTGCACCTTGTCCGTCGGCTGTCACCGACGCGTCTCCCCATGCACAGGCCTGTCCGAAAACCCTGAAGCAGATTGGGGTCTGGGTGGATTCGTCACGGGAAGTCCAGACGGCCAACTGCAAAGAAGCGAACTCACACGTGTTTTGCGATTTTCGGTAATCTTTTTGATCTACTCATGCAAGGTGTGTCGAAATTGGTGCTATGGATTGCCAAAGGGTTTCGAATTTGCAAGCCTTCGTCGCCCGTACACTGGCCACAAGTACTCGTGCACAGGCCGTGGCCCGTGGACAGCGGTGGTAGGTGAAGACCCTGCATAAGGGCTGGGAAAACAAAGCACGTAACAGATGTCCGTGATCTTCTGTTTAAATTCGCATGCTTTCAATTTTCGCAACAGTTTAACTGCCCACATTTATCCTTTCATCTTGGCTGCCTGGGTGTCCCGTTTAAACCGGAGTGGCAACGTTTGCCGGCCTGGCTTGGCCCCGGGAGGACAGCTGGCTGCCTCGGCTGCTGAAGCGGGTGCAGAGGCGGAGGGTCTGCGGAAGCGACCAGCTGGCAAGGAGGAGGCGAAAGCTCCCGAAACGGCCAAGACTACAGAAGCGCAGGGCGACGGTGATCGCTGCCCAATCTCTGGGAAGCAAGGTCGCTTGGACATGCCTGTCTTGAAAGCCGGACAAGTTCATGGGATTCACTAGATGGGGGATCGGAGCGGGGCGGACTTTACAAGTCGGGCTCGCAGATGTTTGTGTTGGAGCAAGAAAGCTGCCTCTGAGTCTCCGTTCCAAGGTACTTGCCCCATGGCCGCCATCATGGGCATCCAGAAACCTTCGGACAAGGCGCAGGCCAACCAGTCACCCACGGCTCCCTCTGGTGGAGCTTTCATGGCTGGAAAGAGCCTCGTAGCACCCAAGCTGCACTGCAAACTGCTGTCCGAGTTGCCGATCACATCTCAGTGTGCATGCGAAGAGCTGCAGCTTCTTCCAAGGCAAGCGTTCAGAAAAAGAACTCCTTCGAGGATTCTTTGCTGTATCGGCTGTGCCCGCTGCACTGGGACGATAAAACCATCAAAATGGCGCTGAGCTCAGTTTGTGCTCGAGTTGACGTCTGAAGCAACCCACGAGTTGTGTCTGCAACCTACTAGTTTGTTTAACACGGTTTGACCACTGCCAAAGTGCTTCTTTTGCTGCTGCTGCTGCTGCTACTAATACCACTACTAGCTTCCACCACCTCCGGCTCCAGCCAGTTCCACCTCGACCACCACCACCGCCACCGCCACCGCCGCACTACCACTGCTGCTGTGACGCCTGCTTCGCCTGCTCTTGACGACGACCGTGCATATGAAGTGAGAGATTTTTACTTGCGGCTGGTGCTGTTGTTTTCGTTCTCTGATTTCAATTTGTTGTGAAGGGACATGACCTGGTGTCGCCCCGGTGCAAATGCAAGTAGGTGCAAAGTGGTACTTGAAGCCGTCGTTGTCAGGTATTCATGATCGCTGCCGCCTCTTGGATGAGCGGCGTCTTCATCGGATGGAATTTGAGAAAGATGCTCGTGAAATGAAGCCAACTCCGAGTGCACATGCTTTGGCAAACTCTCGCTACAGTCAGCTGCAAGTACAGATGGCGGCAGGCGGTGGAGGGGCATGACACACACACACACACAATTGCCAAGCTGCGAGTCAGTAGGGAGCACATGGAACGACGGTTCTTGCGGACAGCAGTTTCGACTCCCTCCAGTTTCGCAACTGCCGTGCAGTGTAGCAAAGAGCGCTTGAATCTATGTGTCACCGTGTCTTCAACGTGTTTCACTGCTTAGGGCCTCGCCCAGTCCGACGGTCCGAATCTCACCGCCCAGGCTTGAACGTGTAATGAAGTTTACCGGTTTACCTGTTTACTGGTTTACTGCTGGTTGCCATGTTGGGTCTCCGTCTTCTACGATAGCGACAGACATCGCAACCTGCGCGTTCGTGAGCTTGGACGTCTTGAGTTCAACGCTCCACGGAAGCGGAGCAGGAGCGGGAAGCGCTCCTTCAGACATAAACCTCCGACTGGCTGTAGCCTGCTTGTGGGGCCTGACAGTGCGCAGTGCTGAGTGCTGATGGGCACCTGGTGCAGCTGGAAGGCTCTTTGGCAGGATGCATCACCTGCCACAAGGTGGCAGGTGCTAGGTTCACGCTACACCGACTAGATCGACGAGGTGTAGGGTTTTCGGCACCTGAGCAGCTTCGGCTGGCAAGTGCCCTCCGTCCACAGATCCTGGCGTACAGCGAAAAGTCAGAGCGCAGGGGGGTAACAACAAATGTACTCATGGAGCTAGGCTTCCTTGCTCGCGGTGAGACATTCCGCTGCGATAGCTACAGAACTTGCGAAAAAGCGGATGCCAGTCTGAGAATCGCAGCATCGAGAGCTCCTGGTGCCTAGGTTTGCTACGAGTTCTGGTACACTGCACAGGGCCAGGTAAGATATGCTCGCATCTCAGATGGCTTTATCTCCTCCATTCCCTTCCATGTCTTGGACACGGGCTTCACCGGCAGTCAGCTGGTGCTTGTATTGTGGTGGCCGAGGACGACCCGATTGAGCTTCAAAGCGGCAGGGCCGAGTGCTAAGCTGACGCTTAGGAAACTACCGGGTTAGCCATATTGACTGAATGTCAGCTACATCCAGCTGCGATGCCCGAAGCGACTTTCCACTCTTCTGTGTGCCGTGAGTGAGAGCTGGTCGCATCTTAAGCTTCTCAACCCAGGCTGATGAAGAGACGCTGCAACTCAATGTGAACCAGGTGGACGAAGACTGGATGTCCCTGGCTGAGAAGTTAACGCATTTCAGATCTGCCCAGGAAAAGCAAGTCCGCTGTGCCATTCGCTTGATGGGGTCACAAAGTCTGGCTAAGTGCGAGCGGAGATTGATCACGAGGGTGCAACAAAACGCCCTATACCTTCAGCGTTTGCCGTAGACTATACTCGTCGGCCATTGCGCAAATAGCCAAACGTGCCTGCTGCCTGCTTCAGGTCCAGAGTCAAACAAGACTTGTCTCGAGCATCGTTCACAGGCATAACATGCAAAAAGCGTGGAGACTCTGCAGCACAACAAAAGGGACACGACCACTCGACCACTTGCTTTCGAGATCCTTCGAACTCTTCGGGCCAGAACTGAGTCCGACCTTGTGATTGGCTGCTGGAGGGCTGCATGTGACGCCAAGGTACGGCCGGCTAGTGACGACAAGCAGTTTCTCCATGAAGTTGCATACTCAGAGCTTAGCTGAAGCTTGCGCGCTGCAAGCTGATCTTTGGCTGAAAGTGATGTCCCGGTGAGTGATTCAAAAGCGACGCTTTCCGCTTTCAATGCTAAGGCTCTGTGAGGTTCTTGCGCGCTCCTCGTGCACTGCGCAGGGAGCTTGAGATCATTTTGCAGAGAAGGTGCTGTCCCTTTTTGAGTGTTGCCAAGTAAGCGGCTGGCAGGGAAGTGCTTGCCCCAGGCACCGAAGACTTGAACCTAAGGTTCTACAACATTGCAATGCTGAATTTACTATCCGAGATTGTTTCAACAAAGGCCCAGTTGTGCACATACGTCCTGATGCTCGTGCTCGAACTTCCACCCTGGCCCAACGGTCGGTGCCGGCAGGAGTTGGCGAGCCGATTCGACTCCTACATCCTCAGCCTTTTCCTCATATCGCGGTGTCTTTGGGCTGAAGCCTGAGCTGCAAACCGCTGGACAGGATTCCAGTGTCTTTGGCAGCCGAGAGAAGCACAGCGCGAAAGCATGCAGGTATACATTGCTCATCGGCGTGCCCAAAGGGCCCTTATCCTGGACTGGCACGACAAGGCTGCTACTTGCTAGGGTTTCTGTATTTCGCAATCTCCATCACTCTCAAACCAAATCCTAGCAACAAAAGCGCTGGAAGGGCGAGTACGTGACCAATGCCTTTGACTCGGCAATCTCTTGATGTGACTTTCCGTGTGCATCCTGGCTTTGGACCTGGGTTTGTCTTGCCAGGTTGGCTTCTTTGGCAGGCGGCGAAGCCACGACTACATCGCTTTGGGTCATGCGTCTTTTCCGGCTTTCGGCGCATCACAGGGCAGCCGAACTGCCAGAGGGTACGGCCTTCCTGTAGTGCATCTGCATGTGCAGGTTGGACCTGATGTTTAGCATCACGGTGGTGGAAATGTTCTTGATCCCAAGGAGTCCGGAACATGTGCAGATACATGCTGGCCATGCAGCCTTTTGTTGGTTTTGGATTGGAGGATAGTAAGAGACATCGTGTCCCTGCTTCATCCCGACAAGCCTGGGGCTTGGTGTTCGGCCTGAAAGTTTCATGATCTTTGTTGACGAGTTCCATCTGAAGAGCCCGGAGTGCTTCAAGGAGGTGCCATCCATTCGCCGCCTTTGGCGGAAAGCTGCCCATGACCTGGCTCAGTACCGGGTGTATGCACGCTGCCTCGGGTGCAGATTGATATGTCCAAAGGTATGGTCCTCGTTCCTTCATTCTGGGGTTCCCGACGAAGGACTCGACAAACACATGGAAATCCCTTGCCTGTGAACTTGCAGTGGCTCCTCGTGCCACGGTCCATTACGGTCCAGGACATGTACATCACCGAGAGCCTTCATGGCATAGTGCCATGCCCCTGGTCGAGTTGAGGTCACAAGCCCTCACAGAGACCGGGCGTGGCAGTGCTGAGCAGACCTTGCCAAGGTCTCAAGTGCCGGTTCTGGTGGCAGTCCTGTCCTTATTATCGCTTGTTTGCTTTGTTCTGGCCTGACTGGCGATGTGTTGTAGCCGTCCCCATTTTTATTTTGACCGGTGTCTTCGACTCCCGCAAGGACGTCATCATCACCGTCAGCCTGTGCACCATCCCCAGCTGGCAACATCATGGTATTCTCGGTGTACTGCAGATCAGAAAGGTGCACAAACGTGAGGCCCGCAGCTCATATCTCTTCCAATCTGTTCCGAGGTTGGACGCTGAGCGCCAAGATAGGCCCTTGCAGCGTCATGTCCTGTGGCCATGTCCCTCTTTCACAACATTTCTTAAAGCGCGATGCGCCGGTCTGCTAGTGAGAATGTCCCTGGTCTGATAATATCCTCACATGGCTCGACCGAGAGTGTCTGCGGGGAGCGGCAGGGCTGCTACATCAGTGCACTTGCTGCCAATCGGACAGGGCGATTGATTCCACGCATCTCCATGCCAGCACAATGTCGCGTGCAGGCCTCTTCTACTTCTCCATTCCCGAAGACCGGGAACGTTGGCGGGAAGCTGAGAAGCAGAAGCGTTGTTTTTGTGAAGGCTTGTATCATGTAGCATGGTTTGTTGTATCTGTGTAAGCGTTTGTTTGTCGCAGGTTGTGGTGCCGATGCATGACGTGGCTGGTGCTGGTCCTCACAGTTGTGAACTTTGTCTTGAAGGCAAGGGGAAATTTGGTAACAAAGCATACACATGCATGCTCTCGAGTTTTTGCAGCATGGACACCAACCAACTTCGCCCGATTGGGAGGTGATTTTATTTCGGCGATATTTGTGGGCTCGCAGACGCTATCGGCCTGTTGCCCCAGACGAGCGTATTCTGCGTTTCCACTCCAACAAAGCTGCTGTCCACCGAGGGCCTGGCTCAAAGTGAAGCTGAACGACCCAAGTCAGCCCGATGCGTGCAGGCAGTGCGTGGTGTGGCGAATCAGAACCTCATTTAGCTTGAATCGACGAAGTAGTTTTCTTTCCAGGAAGGGTTTGGTCTCAGCCATTTGCCTCCTAGTAATGGCAGTTTGCAGATGTTTTGCAGCGCACGGCTCGACTGCTGAACGGCTGAGACGTTAGAATCCCGTCAGGCGCGCTCTGAGAAAGGAGTGGCGTGCTTACTTCGGTGAGCTGAGCCAGGCCAGCCGCTCGCGGAGGTTTTGCATGGAAGTTGAGGCTTGAGGGTTGAGTCTGGAGGACCTTGTGCCCACAACCACGCTAGAAACCCGAAATGCCGGTCAGTGCCAGATGCATGTGCCAGCTGAGTGCCCGGTGTTTGCATCACGGACACCCTGTGGAGTGCCTTCATCTGTGCCAGACGCTCGTGCACGAGCCACTGAGCCCTTGACGCGCTAGTGAGAGCTGATGCTGCCGTGGTAAAGCATCGTGCCGTAGTTAATCGTAGTGGCGTTTTACATCATTTTAAAAGTGGTGCTGGTATTCCATGTGTCGGCCGCATCCTTACCGACAGCAACGGCGCAGCCGAGCAATGGCTGGCATCACCTGGCAGAGCCAGGTCAGCAGGCCATTGTCACAGAAAGCGAGGCCAGAAAGGCCAGGCCCGTAGCTCTCATCTCGCTGCGAATTGCAGGGCCTACACAGGGCCCGACTGCGAGGTTGCCACGTTTTCCAGTTGCCCTGGTCCGTGCAACGGTGTACAGGCGTTTGTTTGGTGCAGTTTCTGGCCTGAGGGAAGCGAGCAGGTCGGGGTTGAGAGACCTTGAAGCCAGATATGCCTAGTGACTCCTATAGTGGCTAGTGATCCATGCCGGGATCTGTTATCTGCAGAATCTGCAGACCACACGAACCTGATGCCCCTCCGGTGCTCTGATGAACAGCTGACAGAGCCTTAAGTTTTTGTTTTGAATGTGTTTCAAGACCCTTTCTATGTCTCTGGACAGTTCTATGGCCGCATGAATCGATTCCTAACTGGGTGGTCGCAGTCCATTTTGTTTCTGTTCTGATGGCACCTCTGCCGCACAGATGCCACTGGAACTGCCGAGCATGATTTCCTACCATTGCTCCAAAAGCCTGGGATCATGGTCTAGGAATGTTAGGGCCTGAGTCGGGGAAGAGGCTTTTGTACCATGTTTTGGCCGCCGTACAGCGGCAGGACCTGGCGATACCCGGTGCTTTGGAGTTTTAGGCACAGGCAATCGAGTGACTCCATTTGCAACCAAACATCGGCGCCTTGTTAAGCTCCGCGCCAGCACGTCCTTGGGGGCTCTTCAAAGAGCTTCTATTCCTTGGGTGGGCAGTCGATAGACTCATGCGATGCGTGTTCGGAAAAGGACGTGCTGATTCGTAGCTTCACAGGTATGGCCGGCAAAGAGAAGCAGGCGGCAGGCGTGTTCCAGCCCGTCCCCCGTTGTAGCTCTTTGGTGCTCTGGGCCTGGGCCGGGGCCGGGCCTCCTGCGCCGTCAGACGGCGACGAGGCCGTGGTCTTCGCTTTCTCAGTTCTCTTCTGCGGAAAGTTGAAGCGCCAGGCATGAGTTATGGCGACAGGGCTGCCACCTTGAAGTCTTCAGATGGCCGTGCGGGGCTTGTAGCGCTGCATCGCTCAACGGGCGTAGCAGAAGGTTGTAAGTTGCCACCGACTAGCCTTTGCCTTACTTCGGCACCAATGCACGTGTAAGCTATGCAGTTCGGAGAGCCACTGCAGCAACTAATTAGTGACAGAGTCATTGAAGGGCTGAGAGAGGGTCCGTGTCTTTATTGCGCACTCTCCCAGCAACGCTTCCAGTTGAGGGACAGAAGCCGAGTTGCTGGCCAGCACCGTTTGGCACTTGGAACCTTCCCAAAAGTGTTTGAGGAAGTGCAGCGGCTGAGTCCCAGAGCAGGTTAGATCTTTGGCGGATGCTGATGACACTTCAACACGTCGCCCCGGCTTTGAGTTAAGTGTACCTAGCGGTCCAGCGAGTACGGTAAGTTGCTCATATTCGTGGGTGAAGTTCCCAAACACGCATCGGACCGGATCAGAGTAGCGGTTCCGTCTCTTTGTGGCAGGTGTCTTGTCAACGCTAAATGCCCGCCCCTCAGATATCACAACTGCGCAAGTTGTCGCTGAAGGTGATCTGTCCTGATGTCTCGAGTCTCGACTCCTCTCTCATGCATCGCATTACAAGGATCCTCGCGCCGCGAGTACGCATGAAGAGACCGTGCTTTCAGGAGTGCAAACAGGCAAAGACCATGCGGCCCCACAGCCAATCTGCAAGCCCGTCGTGCACACATTCCGAAAACTGCGAAGGCAATTCTCCGGATTTCGCAAGTTTCCGTGCTGGGCGGGCGATTTTTCTGACGTTTGTTTCTGTTGCTCTGACCTGGGGCGGCGGGTCCAGGGCTTGCTCAAGGCCGAACCCTGAAAACCTGACTAATTACCCTGCAATGCGGGATCGTCCTTGCCAAGTAGGAGGCAAAGAGGTATCAACACCCCTTACAGTCCTTTTTCGATGATTTTGCCAGCCCTGCTGCTCTGTGTAAAGATTTTTCAATCTTGCCGGAGCCGTTTGTGTTGCTGTGCACCTCAGGAACAGACGGAGCAGCTGCACCGGATCAAGGTGGCATCCGCTGCGCGTGCACAATTCGTAGGGGTGACGGCAGATGACATTCCAACAGGCCGACGCAGATGCAATTAACCACAATTTGGATCAGACGGCACCTGAGAAGTTTCGAGCCTCCTCCTGGGCATCATCAAAAGATATCAAAAGGAATTTTTGTTGAGGTCGGAGTGGCTCCTTCGCTCGATGAAGTCCTTCGGCTGGGCTCCGGTGCCAAGATTGTACCGCCTGCAGAGCATCGCAAACGCCCCACGCTAGTTAGACTGGCACCTACCGACGAAGGATAGGATAGTTGCACAATGGCCAGTACCGATCGCGGTCGCCCCGAAAGGTCAGAAATATTTTTCGGAAAGAGCCCAAGAACAGCCGTCGGGAGCTTACGTGTGTTCAATCATATCCCCGAGGCCTAGGCTCTATAACCTTCATTGTAGTCGCGACATTATCTCGAAAAGAAACCCCATGGGTTGATGCATCTGCCCAGGCCCATCGCAGCCACCTCCAGCTCCTCCCGGCAGAGTTTCTTCGAAGAGCATGATGGGCATGGTAGGTCTTTTTTGCAGCTGGCAAGTGCATCTGCCAGCTGGTGGAGTGCTGAGGCTTCTTTCTCCTCAGCTGCATCGGTGCTTCGCCTGCAGCGCAGTGGGGAATGTGGCTTTTCTTTGGTCGTATCATGGAATGGACCCCATGGATCATGATGTGGACCCCTTCGGTAAGACAGATCCGGCTCAGCCCAGCCTGCTACTAGTAGATTTGGCTTGGCCTAGTTCTGTTGTAGTTTTGCATGTTTTTCCAAGATTTTCAGCGTGCACTTGAATACAGCCGATTCTACTGATGATGTGCCAATCCTGGTGGGCTTCGTTTTGGCATAACGAATGCTCCGAGTGAAATCGATTCGCACTTGCTTGCCCCACGAAGCGGCAAGCAATCTGAGCCCTATTCGCAGGCAGGAGGGTATCCTCAGTCTGTTGGGCCGACGCCTAGCGACAGCAGTCGAGGCCCGGTAGCAGCGGTGTCAGGGCCCAGTTTCACCCGGATGCAGTGGCTCATTGCGGGTCAAACTGGCTCTACCAGAAGTGTGGATGTTGCCTTTTTGGACAGGTGCAGCTCGCCTTCTTGCCGAGGATGGGTTTGGGACAGCCGTCATGCGCTCCCTGCGATTTCTCTCCCGTCTCAAGGATGCGGCTCGTCGCGTGCGGGACCTCAAGCATGCTTCATGCCGGCCGGCAGTACGACTCCATGCTTTCAGTTGAGGCTGCGAGGAACTCTACCGCATCAGCCAGCTCGGCCACAGGTTTGCCAGCATCTGTGTAAACATAGGACAGCGAGTGACGCCGCAGCCACGCGCGGATGGCATCAGCTCTGTGCGCTGCAGCGACATGAATTTCGTTAAGCCGGAGGTGTCTCAACCCAGCTAAGACCAGACCAGAAGAATCAGGAGGTGGCCTGTGCCTCGGAAATCTTGCCCAGACCAATGCGTCGCGTAGAAAATTCGTGTCGGGGTGATCTTGAAGATGCGCTCAAAGGACAAAGTCTACGATCAGCCCTGCCCCTGGAAGTGTCATGAAGCCTCTTGATGCGGCAAGGATGACGTCGAGCATTGCGCGAGTTCCGAGTATAGATGTTAAGGATAGACAATATGCTGGAGGGTCTCCTGGTGAAGAGTCCGGGGCCCTCGAGTGTAAAAGCATCTAACTTGTTGTGGCTCCGACATCCACTTCTGCCCAGGCCAGCAGATCCAGCATACCCTAGGCCACCACAACGAGACGGGGCCCCACACCGCGAGATCGCAAGCCCGAGCCCACAGCTTTGTTCATGGCATCTCGGCCCAGGATGATCCCTGAGATTGCAGAGACAGCCCAAAGCTTACGGTGACGTTTCTGGATCCGCACACCAGCAGTTACACTGACATGGGGAGGTCGAGAGAGATCAAACTCGAATAAACAAGCAGCAGCGGCCCTAGATGCAGCTTCTGCTTCGATGTTCATGGTGCGACGTTTATAGCCCAGCAAGACCTCGGTCGTACCTGATGCCAAGGAAGGCCGAGATCAAAAAGAGGCCAGGCCACGGACCGAGACATGAAGAGACGAGCTGCGTGCTTGGACAGCGCAGGATGGGCTAAGCCGAACTGCCAAGCTGCTGCCTGTGCACGCATCAGCGGTGCAAACGAACCGACGGGCTGAGCCAGCATTCCTAGCTTGCCCGCTTATTTTGCGTTAGAGTGACACAGTTCCGTAGTCGGGAGGGCTTTTGGCTGCATTGAGAGGATTGAGAGGAGAAGTAGAGGATTGGTAGCATAGACACCCGCGAACTTGCTAGTGTGGTTTAGTCGGCCGATCCTGTTTCACTTCGCCTCTACCCCCAGCCTCTAAGAACAGGGCAAGGCAGGGTTAGACGGCGTTAGAAAAGGTGCTGCGTGCGGCGGAGTTCCTGCCATTCTGCATGCAGCATAAGATCAAGATCGCAAGTCGTCAACCATGTGGCTTTGAGTTGTGGTGTGTCAATGGAGGTCTTGGCAATGGTGATAAGTGTCTGCGCGAAGCAGCCGGTGTAGGACTGGGGAAAGAAAGACAGAAGTGCACTTACAAGTCAGCACGGAAAAGTTCTGGCCTGAGAACCACCCAGAAA